TTCACTGGTCTTACCAAGCTCCCACCATCCTGAAGCAGCTGGCTTGATAGAATGGTGGAATGGCCTTTTAAAGACTCAGTTACAGCACCAGCTAGGTGTCTTGCAGGGCTGGGGCAAGGTTCTCCAGAAGGTTGTATATGCTCTGAATCAGCGTCCAGTATATAGTGCTGTCTCCCACAGCCAGAATTTAAGGGTCCAAAAATGAATGGGTGAAAATGGGAGTGGCAATGCTCATTATTACTTCTAGTGACCCACTGGCAAAATTTTTGCTGTCTGTTCCTGCAACCTTATGCTCCACCGGCCTAGAGGTCTTAGCCTCAGAGAGAAGAGTGTTTCCACCGGGAAACACAGTCATGATTCCATTGGACTGAAAATTAAAACTGCTGCCCAGTCACTTTGACTTCCTTATGCCTCTGAATCAACAGGCAAAGCTGCGGTGACTGATCCAGACCACCAAGGGGAAATTGGACTGTTGCTCCACAATGGAGGTAAGCAAGAGTATGTCTGTGATACAAGAGATCCCTTAGGGCATCTCTTAGTACCACCATGCCCTGTCATTAAGGTCAATGGAAAACTACAACAACCCAATCTAGGCAGGACTGCTAATGGCCCAGACCCTTCAGGAATGAAGGTTTTGGTCACCCCACCAGGTAAAGACCCATGACCAGCTGAGGTGCTTGCTGAAGGCAAAAGGAATACAGAGTAGATAGTGGAAGAAGGTAAAGTCAGTTCAAAATACCAGCTATGACTCCACAACCAGTTACAGAAATGAGGACTATAATTGTCATGAATATTTCCTCCTTTTGTTATATGTTTGTATATGTGTGTGTTTGGCAAATATCTTTGTTTTATTCCTTCTCTTATTCTCCTATCACGTAATATAAGGTGTATTTACTTTATATTATTTAAGTATTGTTAATTTTACATCATAGTATTTGTTATGGGATATCAAGGAGAAGAGTTAACATTGCTCAAGGACATGGTTGTATGCAGCATAGATGTTATGTTTAGTGGAATTTTGACCTTTTTATTGTTTTATTTGGAGATTAAGTATGGCTTAAGGAGATTTGTATGGGTAGTAAGGTGACGAGGGATGAACTTACAATGGCTAATTTTGTGTCAACTTGACTAGGCCACGGGGTGTCCAGACATTTGGTCAAGCATTAATCTGGCTATGTCTGTGAGAGTGTTTTTGGATGAGAATAACATTTGACTCGGTAGACTAAGTAAAGCAGATTGCCCTCCCCAGTGTGGATGGACCTCATCCAATCAACTGAACCCTTGAATAGAACAAAAAGGCTAAGAGGAAAAACCTCTCCTGGCTGACTGCTTGAGCTGGAACATTGACCTTCTCTTGCCCTCAGACTGGAACTTACACCATCGTCTTTCCTGGTTCTGAGGCCTTCAGACTTGAGCTCAAACTCCACCGTCAAGCTTGCTCACTGCAGGTCTTGGAACTTAGCCTCCATAATTGCATGAGCAATTCCTTATTTTATATATATTTAAATTATATATGTATTCATTCATCTCCTGTTGGTTCTGTTTATGTGAAAAACCCTAACACACCCCACAATGAAGTCATAAAGTTTTTCCCAAAAATTTCTTTTTACATTTGTATCTATAGATCTTTTGGTATGATATGATATAGGGACCAAATGTTATTAGTTTTTCCTAACAGATATTTGGCCCAGCATTTATTGAGAAATTGAAAAGGCTCTGCAGGGTTACCTTGGTCATTCATCAACAATGCACATATGCACCGGGCTCTTCCTAGACTCTCTCTGCCATCTCTCTCTCTTTCCATCAATGCCACAAGGTGTTATTCACTCAAGCTTAGCAAAATGTTTTCATATCCTGTAGAGATATTCTCTCACCTTGTTCATTTTCAGCAGCACGTTGGATATGCTTGGACGTTTGCATTTCCATATCCATCTTAGAATCGGCTTGTGCATTTACTCAGAAACCTGCAAAATCTTTATTGAAATTGGAATGGATTCATGTACCGTGAGCCGAAATGGCATCTTTACAATAATGAGTTTCCAATTCATGAACATGATCTCTATTTAGGTCTTTCAAAATTTCTGTAAACTGTATAGTTTTGAGAGATATTGTATACATCTGTCATTATATTAATTTCTAGATACGTGGTATTTTTTATGCTTTTGTAAATATCTATTTTAAAATTTCATTTAGCTATTTGTTGCTGCTTAATTCCAGCATACCTGCAACTGGCTGAGTTGTTTTTTGGGAGCAAGATGTGTACCTGCATGGCACAGACCCCTGACCACGCATGAAGTCTACTGAATAACATGAGCTGTTTGGATGTGGTTTGTACCTGCTTGTTATCACTGTTTACTGCTAATAGTAAAATTCATGATTGACCAGGTTCTCACCTAGTCTTGGTGAGAACATGGAAGACCTCTTCTGTTTGGCTGGTGCACAGCAGGAATATGCACACATTACTAGCAGGGTATGAGGTCCAGCCTATACTCCACTTGGGGCTCCCTGTTTCTGAGGCATTCTGTGCACACATTGCCGGTTCCCAATATGAGAAAGTGTGACTTGGCACAACTCTGCAGAGAGGAAAGCGGGAGCCCGTGCCCAGCCTCTCCCAACCAGTTGTTGAGGAAGCCTTTGGCTAAGATTCTCATCCTTACTTGATGCATATCTTTCCTTTAATGCTATTGCTATATTCTATCATTTTCCTGTAATAAACTGTAGACTCCCAAGCATTGTCATTCTGGGTCCCGTACCCTGGTATAGACACATAAATTCTATTTTTTAACGCTGACCTGTATTTAGCAAACTTTTATATTCATTTAGCCATTCTGTAATTTATCTGTAGATTCTTTTACATTTCCAAAGTACATAATTATAAATTCTTATGCTTTCATTTCTTTCCTGTTTCACTGTCTAGAACTTGCAGTATGGTGAACAGTATTTGAATATACCTGAAATGCTTTAAACATTCATTAATAAGTATAAAGGAAGTTACCTTCTATTCCTAGCTTTTCATGAGGTTTTTTTCTTTTATATAAATAGGTATTGAATTTTGTCAAAGGCCTTTTATTAATCAGTTAACTATTTGTTCTTTTTTGTTTTTCATTGTGAACCAACTCAAGCTACAAAATTAATTCTAATCATAGGCTTAGCTGAACTGCAGTTTTTAAATGTGATGTTTCCATTGTCATTCAGGTGAATATGTTGTCTTAATTTCCACAAGACACATGAGTTATTTTGATAGGGTACTGCCAGTTCATTTATAACACAGGTATGATTAACCCCATCTCATAGCTAGAAAACTGAGAGGCTGAGTTTGAGGTCTGATGCCTAAGGTCTCTGACTGACTGAAGAGTTTTCCATTCTTCCATGCAAAGTGTTCTTCAGTCTGGGTGCCTGTCTGGGCCTCTCTCCAACCCCATCATGTCACTGTCCTACCTGGGCGTGGGAGCCTTTCAAGAGAAAGAAAGAATCTCTTTGTACTTAATTCACTGTATTTTGACCCAGGAGCACAGACTTTGCCTTCCATCATTGCCCTTAACTGGGTTGATGTGTTTCAGTGGATTTAATACACGCCTCAGAAGCACACAATAGTCCTAGGTGATTGAGTCCCTGCACACTGAGGATTTCTAACATATGTTCATGTAACAAGTGTCTCAGTTGTTATATATTTTGTGCCACCAGAGCGCAAACTATACTTAGCCTCCAATTACATTTCTTTTTCTCGGCTAATCAGTGGGGGCTGTAGGAAATGACTAGCTGAGGACCCTGGCACCTTGGTCCTCATTGTTGGGATTGTGTGATTCTGTGTAGTCCGGACCTGAATAAGGAATTGAAGAAACATCCACAGGGTGTGTTTGCACAAGCCCTGGGCCAATCATGAGACGGTCTCAGGCCTGCATCCCTCTGCTTGGGGACCCAGAACAGCATGTCAAATCCTAGAGATGAGCAGACCAGCAACTATGAGGCTGGGGAAGCATTTATTGAGTGCCTGCTGTGGGACTCTGGCTGAGGCCAAGAGGCAGAGTATGGCCAAGGGTTCACCCAGTCACAGGAGCCAGGGGTCTTGGGCCAGAGACCACCCCCCAGCACAGACTAAGCTGAAGCAATTATACTGAAATAGAGCCTTTATTTCCCAAAGCTCATGGAATAAGCTCTAGGGCAGAGTAGGTCCTCCTTGCCTAGGAGGGCACTGGGCCCTGCTTGGTGGGCAGCTCCAGGTCTTTCTCCTCACTGACTCCGAGGGGCTGAGGACTGGCCTGCAGGAGGTCAGAGTCTGAAGTGGGAGTCTCCATGCATCCATACCCACACCCTCCCTGGGGCCTTCCTCTTCCCACCACTGCCCACCTCTGCACCTTTGCCTTGGCTGCCCCTGTGGGAATGCCCTTCCCCCAAGACCATCCTCTGAGGACTCCACAGGCCCCCTCCTTGGCTTCCCGCCCCCAGCTCCTTTCACAAGCTGTTTCCACTCCCTGCCACCCAGTTTCAGGGCTCACAGCTTCTCCGGGGCCAACTCCTTCCTCTTGCTTGCTCTTGGCTCGAGCAGGAACCTGCACCCCGAGCTTTGCCAGCTCGTCCTTCAGCCTGGACAGAAAGGGGTGGGCGGGGGGAGGAAGAGGGACAAGAGGGTGTGAAGAGACCAAGAAAAAGAGGCTTGGAGGGGAGCAGAGACTCCCTTAGCCACCTTCCCCTTGGGGACTGGGGGTGGTGCTCCATGCCCACCTCTGCCTCTTCTGCTGCAGCTGCTGGCACTTCTGCTGCAGCTGCTCATGGCGCTGGGCTGTGGCCTCCAGGAGCTGCTGGGCCTTCCTGTTCTCCTCCTCAAACAGATGTCTGAGGGTGGGGCCATCAGTGCTGGCAGCTCCCTCCCTCTGCCCGCCTCCCCCTCCCCATCTTACACTGCAGCTGCTGCCTCCTGGCTGCGGAGAAAGAGCCCCTCAGTGATGGTGGAGCAGTCCCTGGCCCCAAACTGGGAGCAGAGACGATGCTTCACATCCTCAAGCTTCACCTCCACCAGCTTCTCTATAGCAAGAAGAGACAGATGGGCAGGGCAGGGCAGGGCAGGGCAGATCAGGGCGTCCCCATTCTCCAGGCCTCACCTTCTTTGAGCAACTGCTCCTTGCTGCTATTGAGGGTGCCAATCTCCTGGGCCAGCCGCTCTGGCCTCTGAGGGGATAGAAAGGAGGCCCATCCACATCTCCCAGCTTCGCACCATGGACCTCAGAAAAGCCTACCTGGATCTGGTCTTTACTCAGCACGCCTCACTTCCTACTACTCTGACCCTCCATGGTGCCAGGCATGGTTCAGCCTCAGGGCCTTTGCACCATTCCCTTTGGCCATTCCCTCCACCTGGAACTGTTTTTCACCTGATACCTGTGGTGCTGGCTGGAGAGGCTCATGAGGTGGTTAATGTTCAGGAATTTTGCAAGCTTTGAAATCAGCCCTGGGTTGAGTATTTACTACAGGGGACCCTGCAAAAACTATAAATCAGGGTCGTTTTCTGGAGAATCAGTTACCAGCCCAGCACTATGGCTCCTCTTCTTCCCTCTGTGTGGTGTCCTCTCTGAGCCCTTCCATCCTGACATCCATTCTCTCTGCCTATTTTCTTGTCTGGCGCCTGGGATAACCAGGTGGCAAACACGGGCCTGCTTGTTCCCCACCGTCTGCCCTGTGCCCCTGATGGCCCCAAACACATCCATGGATATCCTCAATGGATGATCCCTCCTTGGTTCATCAGGATTCCTCCTGACCACTGAAGGGCCTTGGGAGGGCGCAGGGATGGATGGGCAGGCCAGCAAAGAGGAGGACACTGGGTAGCAGTGTGGGTGATGATGAGGGACTGAGCTGAGGGCAATTTTGACATATGGCCACCAGGGCTTGCTTAGGAACTGGGTGTGGCAGGTCAGGGAAGAAGGTCTGGAGGATGACCCTGAGTTTGGGCCTGGTGCTGCCAGGGAAGATGTGGAAGGTGGGAGGAGTGGCTTTGAGTGGCTCACGTGGAATTCCCAGAGGTCCTTGTGCTGGCCCATCAGATCCTCTAGCTGTTCCTCGAAATCCAACCTGGGGACCAACCACACAGGATGAGGGGCTGTGGGCTGAGACACCTCTCTGCAACCTGGCCCAGGCCAGGGGTCTTCATGCACACCTGAGGGGGCTTGCCCATGCTCTTTGCTCTGCTGGGAGCACCTTCACCACCTTGACCCTCCAAGCCTCAGCTCAGCCAGCTCCTCTTCTAACCCCCATCCCAGATACTAACCCCACCCTCAACCCATCCCAGCCCTCAGGCCTCAGGCATTGGGCTTTACCTCAGCTGCCTCTGTTTGTTCTTCTCTTCCTCGATCTGGGAGTTCAGGGCAGAAATTCGCTCCTTGCACTCCTGCAGCATGGTTTGCTTCCTGGGAAGATGCAAGGCAGACCTCAGTCATGTTCTCTGAATGTCTCCCCAGGAGGGGACTGGGGTGATGCTTCTGCCTCCTTCTCTTGAGGTCTGTTCTAGCCTTCTAGATTGAGGTCCTTCTCTGTAACTTCATGGGGAAGGGCATGAGCATGTACACCCTGGAAATATTGTTGTGAGGATTAGGGAGATCAATGTGGGCCTGGTCAAGTGCACAAGCATACACTCACATTAATCTCATCTGAATTTCCCAAAGAGTTCTAATCTTGGTATGCCACGGCTTGGGGCCTCTGGTCACAAAATGAGCTAAATAAGCATTCAAGAGGTGAAGAGAGGGATGCAAAAATAGTTTGGTGAATGGAAGGATAATGGATGAATGGAGAGAGACTAGGTGGACAGATGGTTGGCCTGATGCCTAAATGAAGGGACAGATGAACAGATGAATGAACAGACAGCCAAGGAATGTGTAGGAAGAGTAAAAGACACAGAACAAAAACCAGCTAAAGGAATTTAATTGATAGTCTAGGAAATGAATGATCATCCCACTGACTGAGAGAGAATCCTTAACACTATGCCTACTGTTAGAGCCAAGGTGGGAAGACACTCGTTTCGCCTCTCCATTTTACAGAGGGAGAATATGAGAGCTGCGGGTCTAAGTCTGATTTCCTTTACTTTCTCTACTCTGCCAGAATGAAAGGGTAGGGCAGAGCATGGCTCAGGTGGAAGCTCTTACCTCTGTGCCTCACTTTCCTTCTCCTGGCAGTGGAGCCGAAGGATCCTCAGGGTCTCTGCAAGGAGAGGAAACAAGGGCCCATGAGAGCCTGTCAAGGCATTAGGGCAGAGGTAGGGCTAGATCATGTGGGGTCTCGTGGACACCTGATGGGACTTTGTCATTTACTGCAAGTCTAGTGGAAGCCAAGGGAGGGATGCAAGCTGATACAGGGTTCAAAGGCTTCAGCTGCTATGCAGAGAGTGGGCTTCTGCAGGGTGGCAAAGGCAAAAGCCCAGAGATAGAGTAGCTGCAATTACCTTGCTTTTTGCTCAAGATCTCTTTCACGCGTGCTTTCTCTCCACTCACTGGAAAACACAGTAACACGTTCAGGCATCAGGGACCACCCACTGCACCCTCAGGGACTGGTCTTGCCCACAGTCACATGGGTGGCTTGGTACAGCCCTACCCCCAATCCCAAATGTGGACCCCTCGAGGTGAGTCCCCTCCCCTCTCATGTCCACATTCCCTGTAAGCATCAAAGGTCCCTGATGTTGATGAAGGGTGGCTATGAGGACCCTACTGAACGCCAGCGCATTTACATGGAGGGGAGAGAAAAAATAAACACATCACATGAAGTGGGATAATAGCTGTGAAGAAACATTAAGCAGTAAGGGGCATGTGACTAGGTGGGGGGAGGGTGCTGTCCTTAGGATGATTTGGGAAGGCCTCTCTGAGAAGGGGACATTTGAGATGAGAGCTGAATGATAGGAGGCAACAGGTAGCTTTATTACCTGGGATGAATAGCCTAGCAAAGGCCCTGAGGTGGGATTATGCTTGGAGGTTGTTTCCCACCCACAGAGTGGGAGAGGGGGAGATTGGTAGGACCTGAGGCCAGAGAAGGGGCAGGGGCCTTGGCCACAGCAAGGATGCTCAGTGTCTGGAATATTGGGTTCAAGGAGGCATGACATTGTGGGAACCTCTGGGTGACCCCTGGCACACTTACATGAGTCCAGTTCCTTCTGCAGGGCCTCCCAGACAGTCCGGGCCTCTCCCAGCTCCTCACTGGCTTTCTTTTTTGCTGCATCAAAGAAGAGAAGGTCAGACATTGTGTAAGTGCAGCCTCCAGCTGCACTATTCCTTGCAAACAGTGACATTTCACATTTGTCTTAAAGCAAACCTAGAGGGGCCCAGATTTTACAGAGCAGGGAACAAGACTTCCAGAGCCCAAGCCCTTGTTGTTGGGTTCAGTTGGCAGCAGAGCCAGGTTAATGGACACATGAATATAGCAGTTGCATTTAGATGGACCTCTGCTTGGTTTAATGCTCTGCTGTTGCTGTCATGAAATACTTAGTAATTTTTGAACGAGGGGCCTTCCATTTTCATTTTGTACTCAGCCCTGCAAATCACATAGCTGGTTTTGGCTGACAAGCCAAGGTCCCTGAGCTTACCTTGCTGAACTTCATTAATCCGGTTTATCAGGACCTCAACCCTGGGCTCTAGGCTTCCCGCTGCAGGGAGGAAAGGAGATTAAGTAGAGATGACAGGGGAGGCAGAAGCGGGTGGGGGCCCTCCAGGGGCTCACATTCTGGGTAGGGGAGACAAGCAACAGATAAACAGATACTGAGTCAGGTTATGCTAACTGTGGTCAAGAGAAATAGAGGGGCAAGGGATTAAAGAGTGAGGGAGTGGGAAGTGCTTCTTTAGATATGGGAAGGCCTCTTGAGGGCGCCAAATCAAGTGAGGGAGGCAGGCTCTGCAGCTCCCTGGGTGGGGATGGCAGGTAGTCAGTGCAAAGGGCTGCCCTTAGGTGGAAACGTGGCTGGAAGGAGCCTGGTGAGCAAGCAGAGAGCAGCACAGGTGAGGTGGAAGGAGGGGAGGTGCAAGTGAAAACCTGGATTTAACTGAGTGCAATGGGAGCCAAGTGGGTGGCCAGCAAGGGTGTTGCAACTGGGTTTTGGGAAAATGTTTTGCTTTCTATCCCCTTATACTTTAATTTTGAATCATGGGGCCATATTATTACTTCAAAGAATTAAAAGTAAGAGAGCACAAAAAAAAGAGAGCTAATTTCTCAAGGTTGTGAACTGTGGGGCCTGGAATCAAATCCACTTCTGCTTGACCCCAAACCTCAGGCTAAGCCTCAGTTACAGAGGAGACATGTGACCTTTCTGCAATTTCTTCACCATTTCCATCAAGTCTTCAATTTTCTGTGAGGACTTGGTCTGCCCTGTGGAGACAAAACCAAACATTTCAGAATACTGTAGGAGTGAGAGGCCTGAGGAAGGATCCAACAACCTTGGCCTGGGACTGATGTGGGCTGAGGACAGATGTCTAACCAGAGTCGTGCCCCTGCTCCTTGTCCTGAGGTGGACACTACATGAGAGATGAAGCAGGCCCCTTCATGGTCAGCTTTTCCTAAAGTGTGAAATGACACCACAGATTTCCCCTTAATGAAACAATGGGCAAGGGAAAGAGCACACTCTCCCTGCTGATACTGTTCAAGGTTGGGTCAAAGCTTGTGATGTAATAATGAAAGAAAAAAAGGAGGGGTATAAATAAATAGAAACGAGTCAAAAATCACTGTAACTGGCAGATGGCATAATCAACTAGAAAGTTCTAGAGAATCTTATTTTTAAAAAACAAGGAGGGCCGGCCCCGTGGCTTAGCGGTTAAGTGTGCGTGCTCCGCTACTGGCGGCCCGGGTTTGGATCCCGGGTGCGCACTGGCGCACCGACGCACTGCTTCTCCGGCCATGCTGAGGCTGCATCCCACATACAACAACTAGAAGGATGTGCAACTATGACATACAACTATCTACTGGGGCTTTGGGGAAAAAAAAGAGGAGGATTGGCAATAGATGTTAGCTCAGAGCCGGTCTTCCTCAGCAAAAAGAGGAGGATTAGCATGGATGTTAGCTCAGGGCTGATCTTCCTCACAAAAAAAAAAAAAAAACAAGGAATAGTAAGAAAATTTAGTAAGATGTCTCGTTTAAACATATATAAATAGATTTCCTATATACAATTGTTATCCTGAAGCCTCCTAGTAAAATATTTCCTATTTTCTTTTTTTAAATCAATATGGGCACTTATTTTTAACCCCCTAATGAATTAGTAGATCTAGGCAATTATTATTACTATTATTATTATTATTATTTTTGTGAGGAAGACCAGTCCTGAGCTAACATCCAATGCCAATCCTCCTCTTTTTGCTGAGGAAGACCGGCCCTGGGCTAACATCCGTGTTCATCTTCCTCTACTTTATATGGGATGCCGCCAGAGCACGGCTTGATAAGCGGTGCGTCGGTGCATGCCTGGGATCCGAACCTGCGAACCCTCGTGCCGCGGAAGCAGAGCATGCACACTTAACTGCTGTGCCACTGGGCCAGCCCCTAGGCAATTATTATTAACAGCATTAACATCACAATAAAGATAACTGGATATTATGAGCCGCTTGATGAAAAAATACAACATAGGATTCTTGCCTAAAAATGACACTAATACTTATTAAGCCTCTCAATCTAAATACCAATTCAAGGAAATACAGGGACAGAGGAACAAGTTAAACGGCACATGGGGATGCAATTAGCAACATCCAGATTGGGAAACTTCACGGGAAAACAACCCAGTTTCTTTAACAAATAAATTTCAGGAGAAAAGCACGGAAGGAAGACCCTTACAGACTAAAAGAGTCATATAAAAGAGACATATCAACAAATCTCAATAAGTGAACCATATTTGAATCTTGATTCAAACAAATGCACTTTAAAAATTATTGATGACAAAATCAGGGAAATTTGAAAATTGACTAGATATCTGATAAAACAAAGGAATTACTGTAGCTGTTATTCAGATGTGACAATGCTATTGTGGTTACTTTTCTGAAAAGAGTACTTATCTTTTCGATATCTTTTAAAGATATACATGGAAATATTTATGAATGATATGCTATGATGCCTGGGATGCTTCACAATGAAATAGTGGAGTGGGTGGTAGGAAGTGGGTGAGGAGACAGAGGAAACAAGATTGGCCAAGAGCTGCTAATTGTTAAAGCTGAAAGATGGGTTAATGTGGTAATTATACTTTGTTCTCGACTTTTGTATATGCTTAAATTTTTCCACAATGAAAAGTCATAAGGTAAGGCAGCGTGCAGAAGCAGTAAATATCTGTTGAATGAGCCAAATAATATCTTGTTAACAAAAAAATGCAGGCTACAAAACAGCTTGTGTAGTATGAGCCTCCTACTTTTTACTTTTAAAATAATTTCAAATTTACTTAAAAGTTGCAGAAATAGGACACACAGCTCCCATATGCCCTTCACCCAGATTCCCCATTTGCTAGCATTTCTGAACCCTGAGAATGAGTTGCAAACACAATGCTTCATTACCCCATAATACCCCAGTGTGAAGTTCTGAAATATAAGGACAATCTCCTATGTAGTAACCACAATACAACAGTTAAAACCGAGAAAATAACTATGATAGATATTAACATCTGATCCTTTAATGGCATTTAAAAAATGTCCCCTCCTTTCTCTTTTACATTTTGAAGTTCTACAATTAGTATCTACAAAGTCCTAGTAGAAAAATCAAATAAGATTAAAAATGTCCCTTCACCTCTGCATTCCCCTCAAAATCCAAATCTCTTCCCCAGAATCATCAATGAGGAAAGCAGCCTCCAGACATACTTCTGTGCAACCTACACAGTGCTATAATTTTTCCCTCTTGCTTTTCTCTCATATCTAACAATGTAACAGTTGACTTAACTGAATTTTTATTACATTTCTTCCTCCTTTTAGAAATCCACTGTACAGGTATTTGCCGGCATGCGTGAGTACACCTGGGTACCCATGTGCGTGAGTACACATGCGCTCCCCACGTTTTCCTACCACCACCCAGGCTCGTGACTACTCCGTCCGTGTATCTGTGTGTTTTGTGTGATGCCTAGGAAGGTGACGGAAAGAGAAAAGGCAAATTAAATGCTAAAATCTCTGCCAGATGGGCTCCTGCGAAGCCTTTACCCACTGGTTTTCCTGTCAGCTCAGTACGGGAAGGTCTGTCTTCTGCCCCTCTTTGAAGAAGCTGATGGACTGGAAATGGACTCGCACTGTCCTTGGAATTTCTCCCATCGTTGGCTGCTACAGGGTGAACGCTGTGCCTCCCCAAAATTCCTATGTTGGAACCTGACGTGCTGGTATTGGGGGTGGGGCCTCCGGGAGGGGGGCCCTCGTGAACGGGATCAGAGCCCTCAGGAAACGCACCCCGACGGCTCCCCTTCCCTTCCCGCCGCCGCGAGAAAACGCTCATCTGCAACCAGGAGCTGGCCCTCGCCAGACGCCAAACCTGCGGCCTCGAGCCGAGAAACCTAGTGCCGTGGTTCACAGGCCACCCGGGCTACGGCGTTTCCGTAACGGCGGCCCGGACTGACCGAGACAGTGGTCAGGTGGACCGAATCTCCACCCAAACACAGCGGCTTATCCGAGAAAGCTGCAACAGCGGCGGCCACGGCAGGTGCGGAACAGAAGGGGATACGCGCACCCGCCCGAGCAGGC